CCGAGAAAAGTGAGGGGTCCTTTCTGTGGGTGTCACTCCCCAGGGCTCGGTCTTGAGGGAGGGGGATGGACAAACATCAATCCTCAGGAAGTTCCTCCACAATCTCATTTCCACGCTGCTCCCCAAGCTGCAGCTGTCCACTCCCCACCACCCACAGTCAGTCTCATTCACATGACAACACGATCCTTGATTGTCCTGAAAATGAAGTGTGTGTTTAACGGTTAAGTCTGTGCCCACAGGGGTTACTGAGGTGCTGGTGTTTCCTGCTGCAGAGTTACTGAGGCCTCACACGCCCACCTCTTCACAGGCACGTCCAGTGTGCCCTTGTACCTGAGAAGATGTGTTTCCTGAGAACATCAGGATGAACCCGGCCACACACACACATTTTGTCTGGAGATGTCCCAGGCCTCAGTCCTTTTCCCAAATAAATGTGAACACTCTGTCCTGGTCCCCCCCAGGGAGGCACCAGGGACCACAGGGCACTGTGTGGTGGGGGTGCTGTCAGGGCAGAAAAAGGGGCTGTGTGTACCCCTGACCTGGGCTCCCCGGGACTTGAGACCCCATGTCTAAGGGCTCTGGGCCTGCGGGAAGGAAGTGCCCAGATTTCCCGCCCCCACAGGACCTGGGCTCCTGTGATGGGCAACGGTTACCAGAGCTGATCTGCTCCACATGCCTCCTTTCCCCTCAGATTCATCCTTGACCAATGGAAGCGGCCTTCCACACCCTGGTCTCCTTAGTGCTGGGAGCCAGGCCCTGAAGGGTCACACAGAGAACCCACCCCAAGGACAGGTTTGCTGGGAGAACCCCCTCAGGGGATGGAGAGGACTTGGGAGGACAGGAGGCCACTTGTCCTCAGGCTCAGAAGCTGAGGGAGAGGCTCCCTGAGGGTGTTGGGGAAAGTGTGTCTCTGTGTCTCACACACACGCACGTGCACACACACCTTCTCTCTGAGTGTATCTCTTCTGGACTCTGCATTTCTTAGGCTTCTCTGTTTCTCTAGGAGTCAGGGTTCATCCACTGCTGACCCAGGGTCCTCAGGGTCAGCGTCTCCAGGAGGCAGAATCTTCATCATCGGGAAACAGCAGTGACATGAGTGTCCCTGGTCCTGTTGTCAGGGCAGCTGGGAAACACCCTGAACCCCGATCCCTGGGCTGGACGTGGTGTTGTCTGTGTGTGGGCTGAAGGTTGCTCTGTGCCCGCATCACTCAGGTTATCCTGACTGTGCAGAGCTGACCTTCTCAGACGAGGCCCCTCCACGCCTTTCAGAAGAGGCCAGGGCCTTCCCTCCTGCGCTCTGACCAGTTCCATTTCCTCCAGTGTGTGAGGCCCCGGTTTCCCACTACAGTGGTTCAGGAGGACTGATGCTGAGAGGACTGGGTGCCCCCCAGGCAGGTGAGGACCGGCCCACCCTGCCCTTGAGCTTCGGGCCCCACGCCCCTGTGACTGTCTGGATCCGCACCTGTCACACAATGCCCCTGACTGTCGAGTCCCTCACCTGGCTTCTGATGCTGCTCATCTCCTGTGCTTTCTGAACCTCTTGTTTTTCATGTCTCTGTCCAGGGAAATAGAAGGTATCTGCAAGCAAGGAACCCCTGTAGCAGGTTCAGGAGGTCAGGGGACTGAAGCAGAGTCCCCGCAGTGAGACCCCATGAGGAGGTCTGGCTGCTCCATGGGCGCTCCCCCTCGCCCACCTCGCCACACAGAGATCACTCCTGGTTGTCAGGGGAGTGAGCCCTGGAGAGCATAGGGTCCCTTCTCTCTGGAGCCAGGCGTCCCGTGGGCTGTGACACCAGAACCTGCAGTGTTTGTCACTCTGGGCTGTGTCTGAGTCCTGGTGCTCAGTTCGGGTTTGTCAGAGGTCATCATAGCCCGAGCATTGGTCTGAGCTTCATCATTGCCTCTCCTGGGACCTCAGCAACGTGGGTGGATGCTGTGGGAACTGGAGCCAGCAGATCCTGGGCTGTGATGATGGAGGGTCCTGGATGCCCAGGCTCACAGCCAATCCTCAGCCTTCTTCCTGGCAGCTCTGGCTGCTGCTGGAGCTCATGGGCACCAGACAGACCCTTCCCCTGTGCTGCCAGCCAGCCCCTCACATCCCTGCCCTGCTTGTGTCTGAGACTTGGCTGTCACACTCACTCACCACGCCCCCACCACACACACAGAGTGAATACAGACCCCGGGTGGGTGTGGCCCAGGGCAGCCCTTCCTCACCCAGAGCAGTGGGACCCTGGTGACCTCCTCAGAGCCCTGGCATCTGAGTCAGTGCTTGTGGGTCAAGGCCAAGCAGCCTCACGTTCCTGAGGAAAATTAGGGTCTGGGTCATCCTGCAACCTTCCTGCGTCCCTAGGAGTCCCAGGTTTCTGTGGTCTCACCTGGTGCAGGTATAGCTGAGGCTCAGGAGGAAGGAAAGGCCCATCTTCTTCACCCACAGTCATGAGCGCCCCCTGCAGGCCTGGACACATGCTGGCCCTGCTCTGAGGGAGAGGGACAATCCTGGAACCAGGGCAAAGGGGAAGACTTGCACCAGAGGTCTGACCTGCACAGTGTGGCTGTGCTCTGACTCAGTCAGACTGATCACAGTACAAAATGCTGTGGACAGGTATTGATTGTGTTCCGTGTGAGGTTTTCCTTCCATCTCCTGCCATTAGACTCTGAGGCTCAGAGAGTGTGAATCACTCACATGGGATCCCCACAAGTCGGGCTCCCATTGGTCTGGGGCTCAGTCCCGCCCGACCCCAGGGAGCAGATTGTCACCCCAGGGCAGAGGCTGACCCAGGACACGGTCTGACCAGCTCCCCCTGGGTGGTCACACTGTCCCCTCTACTTGGGTCTCATGAAGTTCATTGTGACGACACTTCCAACTCTTACACTTCTCATCTGCAGCCACCTCGTGTGTCACAGGTGACAGGGATCTGAGCCATTCATGTCCAGGACAGCCCCCAAGACGGTGTGACTCAGAATTGTAGGGAGACACAGGTAGGAGGCCCAGCTCAGCTGCACTAAAGAAGTCCCTAACATAGGGACCTGTGTGGCAGCTGTGCTGGAAGGACCAGACGGTGTCCTGGGCTCCAGACACGAAATCTGTGGCATAGCCCACAGGGCTGTCATGTAACACAGTCTGGTTAGGCCTGGGGGACCAAGATGCCATGGCCCTTTAAGCCCTGCCTCACACAGAAATGTCTGGGGGAAGGTGGCAGGTGCAGAGTCTCAGCAAACGGTGTCAGTCAGAGCCAGTAGTGCGGCTGCTCTGGTAGCTGAGAGAGGGAGGGACAGGTTTTCTTAATCATTTATTGTCCCTGCTCATGCTGCAGTCCAGGCCGTGTGCACTCAGGGGACACCCCGTGACTGTATCAGGTGCCCTGGGCCCTCCCTCCTCTACCCTCCCATGGGCTGTCCTATTGAAGATGACAAACCCATCCTGTAGAGTCCCCATCGTCAGCCCCGGGCTCATCACAGGACTGCGGTCCTGTCTGCCTTGGGAGGGCAGCTTCAGGATCGGTTCTCTGGCTCTACCCACAGCCTCTCCAGTGCTGTCCACTGACCATCTCCGGACTGCAGCCCGAGGCCGAGGCCAATTCCCTTCTTCACTCTCACGGTAGTGGCTGCAAGCTCATAGTGCCCCAGACTCCCAGGGATGTGATAGCAAAACTCCCCCGGGCCTCCCTGTCCTGGGTCTGCCCTCCCTGGTCCCCAGCGTGGAGGGGTGACAAAGACCCCTTGAGTGCTTGGAAGGCACAGAGCCCAAGGTGAGCCAGTGCTCCTGGTCCTGGCTATTGACTAAGAGGCCCTGTGAGAGTAGACGTGTGGGGGCCGTGGGACCGTGGGCCCAGGTGAAGCAGAGCTGGATGCGGGGCACTGAGAGGAAGTGATGCTTTGTGGATCGAATTCATTGCCCAACATTCAGCAGCACATCTTCCAACAGGTCACAACCTCACTTTCATCTTGTACTAAAATAGACAACCAATAAGAAAATGACACTAGGAAAAGTACTGTTTAAAATACATACATTTTTAGGCCACCTAAGACTAAATTGTAGAAAAAAAACAACAGAGATACGCAGAATGCCAAGAATAAATAAGAGGAAACTACAAATAAAAGTTAATTCCTAAAATGAATTACTGTGCTACACTTTTCACTATTAAATGTGAAGCCTTTCGAAGCTGTTTTCTTTACCAATCATTGAATCAAGTCAGATCTATGAAACCGTACATGCTTCCCATGAATCGAAATGTTTGCTGAGTCGGCCTCCTCTGCACATGCCTCTGTGCATGTGCAGTGGAAATGTCTGAGAATCCCGCACAACTACTTCAGACCAGATGAATGGTCCCCTGGTCTGTGACATTGGACATGCAGGCCACTTTGCATTTACTTTTGGACATCTTCACTGAAGTTGAAGCAAATTAATTATCCATAACAGTGCATGTTTGCACCTCCCAGAGAACCAGACTCCTGGGGTGAGATGCTATAGTAACCACCAGTAAAGTAACCATCAGAGTCACAGTGTCTGGGAACCCAACCCTGGATGTATGAACAGAGTCAGTGACCTGCTGAGCTGTAGAGACCAGCTGGGCTCTCAAGGCCTTGGGCCATGTGGGGAGGTGTTGTCACTGCTACCAGTAGGGGGCACTGAGGGACTGCCCTGGGAGTGTCTATCAAGCTGCTCATCAGGGACCATTCACTCCTAGGAGGATGGGTCTGGGGTCTGGGCCTTGAGCTCACAGATGGGGACTGAAGAGCTGTGTCCACCCTGGCATGGCAGAGTCCCCTGAGCAGGGTCCTTTGTGTTCTTTCCAGATGTACTTCACCACAAGGTGCTCCCAAAAGGTGAAACCAACCTCCATCCCTCTGTCTGGGGTGTGAGCTGAGCTCCAGCACCAGGGCTCAGGGAGGGTCTGGGCAGCCCCTGGATGAACACACATTTGCATGGACAGCCCCTCCCCTGGCAGAGGGTGGGGAGAAAAGGAGGCCGGCACAGCCCAGGTCCACTGTGGGCTCAGGGGCTGTGTGCACCATGGCCTGGACCCCTCTCCTCCTTGTGCTCCTCTCTCACTGCACAGGTAGGGACAGGCCTCTGCTCCCAAGGTTACTCTCTTTATGTTTTATCTCCTGAGTAATTCTTCTTGTTCCTGCCACATCAGTGAGAAGTGTCTGTGTTTCTCCAGGTTCCTTCTCCCAGCCTGTGGTGACTCAGCCGCCCTCCATCTCTACATCTCCAGGAGCCACAGCCAGACTCACCTGCACCCTCAGCAGTGACATCAATGTTGGCAACTCTATTATATCCTGGTACCAGCAGAAGCCAGGGAGCCCTCTCCGGTATCTCCTGTGGTATAAATCAGACTCAGAGAAGCACCAGGGCTCCGGGGTCCCCAGCCGCTTCACTGGATCCAAGGACACCTCGGCCAATGCAGGGCTCCTGACCATCTCGGGGCTGCAGCCTGAGGACGAGGCCGACTACTACTGTCTTTCCTATGGTGGTGGTAATCACACAGTGATGCAGACTCAGGGAGAAGTGACACCCAAACCCCCAGAGCTTCCCCTTCTGGGTCTGCACTCAGCCTGTCCCCACCAAGCAGGGTGCTGTTTTCTGTCTCCTGCTGGAAAGTTTGTGTTGAGATTGGAGGTTTCTGAGTCCCTCTATTTCCTCTCCAACTTCCCCCATGTCAGGGAGGTTGGTTGCCTAATCCCTGTACAACGAATTCCTGAGGGTGAGTTAGTTCAGAGCAGGTGTGTCAGCCTGTGTGTTTGTGGAATTGGGGTGGGTCAGTGCTTGTGGGGGGTCTGCTCTGTGCATGAGGGACACTCAGATGTGTCCCCTGGACTCTGCTCATAGATGACAGTGACACCCTCTTGTTAAGTTATGACTTATGAAACCACATGAAGATTTCTAGATATGCCCTGAAGGGGCCCAGTGACCCCATTATGAGACCCACGGGGTTAAATGAGTGTGTTTTCAGCTGTTACACAGCCTTTGCCTTTGAGTTGTGTTCATGCCAGTCAGGTGGACAGAGACTAATGTGCCATCTCTCTGTGCTTCTGGGTTCCCGTCTGTTAGACACAGGAGTTACACAGACTCACGTGAGGTTAGAGCCTGGAACAGTCAAGTGGAACATCCTCTCAGTCAGGGTGAAGGACAGGAGGAGGACAGCTAGTGGAGGGAGGGTGAGGCCAGGGAGTGAGGCGATTTAGCCAATGGAAAGGACTCACTGGGCATGGACAACGATGTGGTGATTCCTGAGGTGAGGAGGTTAAAAGGGGAATAAATGTTAATGGAAACTAATATAATAAAGATTGAATTAAACAAACAAAAATGAAACAGAAATCCATAAGTGAAGTATAATTTTTTGCCAAAATATGTATGCAGTTAATATATTGAAATTTTACACATTGCAGATAACACATTTCATATATTTTCATTTGCTCTCTTAGGGAGTGCATTTCAAGCCTGAGACACAAAGATGACTGAACACTGACAGGGTCTTTGACCTTGGGGTCAGGTGTGTGTGGGTCCTGGAGCACAGACAGGACCAGCAGGTGGGTGAGGAGCAGACACTGAGGACAGAAGACAAGACATCCTCCATGAGCACATGACCTGCCCAGGGCACAGTGGTTGTGTGAGTGTCTGCTCACATTCCACTTAAATAACAGTCTGTAAGGCCATTATCACCAGAGACTAACTCACAACTCAAAATCTACCATCTGATCTGATCAATAAAACATAATATCCATTTTCTTTACTCAAAGTCCCACAGAGGACTGTAGTGCAGAATCTCATAAACGAAGATCCATGGGTTTGAAGTGCCTGTGTGAATGAGTCAGGATTCTTTCCTGTGACGTGGGTGAAGGGAGCCGACAAATGATGGTCCGAGGCCGTGTGTGCTGGTCTGGACTTCCATCTGCTCACACGTGTGACCTCTGAACCTCATGACTCCAAACACAGGAAGCCTGTTTCTCCTCTCTGTCTCACTCAGCACAGCAGTCAGTCAGCTGACCATTGTGATGATTTCTGCACACGTACATTGATGTGGCGGTGGTTGGGACCCGTTGCTGTCCTGTGCAGAGTTTGGGGACGTAAATGATATTTACGCTGCAACATGTGGTGATGAGGGTCGTGGTGTGTGGCTGTGTTCTCAACATCAGCGAGGGAGCAGAGTGAGAGGTGCAGGGAGTACAGGATTGGACAAAGGGAGTCCTGTGGATGGTGGATGAGGTACTATCATCGATGTAGCCAGTGCTTTGAACTATTTTGTGTAGTTTTTGTGACTTTTACATTGTGATATTGATTCTCTAATTCTGTCTGCGATGACATGTGTGTGCCTACTACTGAGAGCCACTCAGAATGGCTGAAATATGAGTGTTACCATGATTCAAGTTTAATCCTATTTCCTTCTTAAGGACAGTAGAGGACAGGTCAACACTATGAAGGGACAGGAGTCAGGGATCAGAAGTAACAGGGAAGTGGGGAAGCTGGACTTCTGAGAGCACGTGGAGGGGCTGTGTGGTGGGTGGGCCCCATCGGGAAGTCCCTGGAGGGGAGCCCAGGTGCTGGGGTTCTGAGCAGACAGTAGTGAGGTGTCCCTGAGGGTTTTAAGCAGGGGGTGACTTCTCTCAGGTGAATGAGAAAGGCCCCTTGAGGGCCTCGGGGATGCAGTGCCTGAGGTGAGCAAGTGATCCTGGCCAGAGTCATTGACTAGGCTTCCCTGTGAGTCTAGACGTGTGGGGACCCTGGGGCCATGGGCACAGGTACAGCAGAGGTGGATCTGGAACACAGAGGGATGTGATGGTCTCTGCCTCCAACTGCCCAGACACTCAGTACAGGTGCCAGACACTCAGAACAGGTACCCACTGGTATCTTGCTACTCAAGTGAGGCAATGAGTAAGACAATACAGGCTGGGAAAGTACTGTTTACAATATAAACACAGTTTAGGACTCCCAAAGCAAATATTTAACCAGAGACACATCACACAGGTAGGCAGAACACTAAGCAGAAAAAATAAGAGAAAACGAAGAGTGAAAGTTAATTTGTAAAATGAATTAGCATGTGACACATCCCACTGTTAAATGGGAGCCCTTCAAAAGCCATTCTCTTTACCAGGACTTGAATCTAACCTCATCTGTGAAAGCCGTACAGGCATCACAGGACTTGAAAGGTTTGCTGAGCCGGGCTCCTCCACATGTGAATCTGAGTCTGTTCCTGGAAATTTCTCTGAAACACCCACACGAGTCCTTCCATCCAGATACATATTCCCCTAGTTTGTGACATTGGACGTGAATCTTTGAATTTACTTTTGCAGCATCTTCACTGAATGTGAAATAAATTAACTTGTCACTCAAATACGTGTTTGCACCTCACACGGAAGTGGACCCCTGGCAGTGAGATGCCACAGTAACCAGTACAGTGTGCCAGAGTCGCAGTATCTGGCAACCAGATCCTGGAGGTGTGAACAGAGTCAGTGACCTGCTGATCTGCAGAAACCAGCTGGGCTCTCAAGGCCTTGGGATGAATGGGGAGGTGTAGCCACTGCCACCAGAAGGGGGCACTGAGGGACTGCTCTGGGGGAGCCCATCAAGCTGCTGATTAGGGACCACTCACTGTCAGGAGCCTGGGCCTGGGGGCTAGGCCCTGTGCATAAGGAAAGGGAATCAGCAGCTGTGTCCTCTGTGGTTTGATGATGTCCCCTGAGAAGGGACCTCTGTGTTGTTTTAAGAGGTGCTTCCCTGTACAGTTCTCCCAAGGGGCAAGGCCAACCTCCATCCTCATTCTGGGGTGTGAACTGAGTTCCAGCACAAGGGCTCAGGGAGGGGCTGGGCACTCCCTGGATGAACACACACTTGCATGGGCGGCCCCCCGCTGGCAAGAGTGGGAAGAAAAGAAGGCCTGGGCAGCGCAGCCCCACTGTGGGCTCAGGGGCTGTGTGTACCATGGCCTGGACTCCTCTCCTCTTTGTGCTCCTCTCTCACTGCACAGGTAGGGACAGGCCTCGGGGACCAGGGCTCAGTTCCCAAGTTCATTCCCTTCCTGCTCCACCTCCTGAGAAGCTTCCCTTGGTTCTGGCCCATCACTGACAAGTGTCTGTGTCTACTGGTTCCCTGTCCCAGCGTGTGCTGACTCAGCCGCCCTCCATCTCTGCTTCTCTGGGAGCCACAGCCAGACTCACCTGCACCCTCAGCAGTGGCTTCAGTGTAGACGACTACCACATTCGCTGGTTCCAGCAGAATCCAGGGAGCCCTCCCCGGTATCTCCTGTGGTATAAATCAGACTCACACAAGCACCAGGGCTCCGGAGTCCCCAACCGCTTTTCTGGATCCAAAGACACCTCAGCCAATGCATGGCTTCTGCACATCTCTGGGCTGCAGCCTGAAGACGAGGCCGAGTATTACTGTGCTATATTTAATGGCAGTTGGAGTGGCTACAGTGACTCACAGGGGCTCAGATGACGAGGAAGTAAGATAGAAATCCCTGGGCCCAGAGGTTATGCTCTGAGCCTCTCGGGAGCTTCTGTGGAGGCCTCTGCAAGGTGGGCTCCTCTGCAGTCAGAAACATCCATGGAAGGGGAGGGAGCAGCACACAGTCATGAGTGAGAGCACAGGGTGTCCCCAGGTCCCTCTCGCTGAAGGGGTGACAAAGCCCGACTGACCATCTGCATAGTGTGTGGAGTAAATTTTAACAAGAATGATATTTTTATGTAAAAGTCTAAGTCTTTCATTCTGTTGTGTCTTGTTTTGTAGTTAGGATCCTTCACTTCTGACACATCTGGTCAGCAAATATGGGGGCATTTTTCTTCACAACCAGTGATTCTCTGTGACAGCAGCTGGATGTCCCACCACACAACTCAGCTCTCACACGAGCTGCCTGGCAACGATGTCGGGTCCACCGTGAAGGCCTCTGTCCCATGCGATTGCCCGCATTACAGCTGCCAGTCACAAGTAGGGCACCTGCAAGTCTCGTACAACTATTTGGCTGTAACTCGAAGGCTCCCAGGGTCCTTAATTTGGTTTCAGTTAATTTGCTGACTCCACCTGAGCCCTTCTGCCTTCTCAAGGAAATGGGGGACAGGTCTGTGAATTCCAAGCTTTGAATCATTTGTGTGTCTTTTGTGTGAGCTGTCCTCCCCAGGAGCCCACCCAGAGCCACCTCATTAGAACAAAAGGAACACCTGTCTCCCAGGAAGTTTCAAGGTCAAGAGGCTGAGACCCATATATATTTTCTCTTAATACTGTGTCTGCAAGTACTTGTGAATACACATATAGTCATGTGAACCCACAAATTAATGTCGTAACTGTAAACATTTTGTTACTTCTTCAATGTCTCCACAGTCCCAGGCCTTTCAGCCTGACCCTGGGCTCTGTGCCCTTGGGCGCCCTCCATGACTGGCGACCTCATGACTGTCAGTGGGTTCTCCTGAGCCCACAGGCACTGACTGTCCCCCTGTCCTCTCACACTTCCCTGGGGTCCCCAGCCATCCAGGCTGTGGGCTGGGCTGCGGGGCATCAGGAGCAGGAAGTCCCAGTTGGTGCCTGGGTTTCCTCCCTCATGAAGCTGCTGATGAGCCCAGACCCCAGGTGAGCTTCTCCTGCACAGGAAGCAGCAGACACATTGCAGGTGACCATGGCAATGTGTCCAAGGCCTCCCCGGTACAGCCCATACATTTGTGACCAAGAAGAACAGTGAGGGAGCTTCCTGGGTTTGAGTCTCATTCTCCGAATTCAGGGATGTCACCAGAACCTCTTTGACTACCTTTGGGTTCCAGCCCCTGGGAGAGGCTGGTGATCATCGGTACAGAGCTGAACACAAGCCGATGCCACACAGCTCTCCTGCCCCACGGGGAAAGGGATGAACCTGCCCTCCCGGCCCCTGCCTGGCTCATCAGTGCCCTGTCCTTCCCTGTGACCAACACCTGCTCTGCAGTTGGCTTCTGATGTCACATGTGATTTCAAAAAAAAACTTCACTCTCTGAATTTTTTCTTCGTGGGGTCAATGAAAATATCTTCGATGAAAATACAGTTCCCCCAGTGTACACAGAACTGCTTTGCTTCCACAACAAAAGAGCCCCGCAGTGCTGATTGGGGTGGGAAAGGCTCAAGTGCAGCACGTGAGACCCCAGAAGACCAGGTGGGCATTTCTGCTCCGGTGTTGCTTCATGGGATCACAAGGAAAGCATTTCTGAGACACTTGTGTGGCAGACTGTGGAGTGGGAAGAATTATTTGAGTCCAAATAGAAGCCTGCCCCTGTGTCTCATGTCTATGTGTCCTGCCATGGAAAACGTTCAACAGTGTCTTCAACAAGGCCAGAAGAAAGATAGGTAAGTATCCAGAGTTTCTGTTTCTTATTACAGATTAGTCTTTAGGGGCCACACTATCTGTGGTGGGTCCTGCTGGGCTTCTACACTCACAGTGTTGCTTGGGAGAGAAGCAGTGAACAAATAGGATTTGTGCTTGATCCTGGGGGAGAGAGAGACAGAAAGAGCAAGACAGAGAGAGAGTTTGAGAGAGACAGAGAGAGACAGAGAGAAACTCTTTGTTCCCTGGCATTGTATTAGTTTGGGCTTCAAAAAGCCTAATGTTTCTACAAAATAACCAATCAACATCTAAGCTTACACAGGTTTGCACTGGACCAACCTTGTAATCAATCATGGCTCCTATTTCACAAGCCTCATAGAAGCACCTGTTGCTGCATATTTGGGCTTCTAGTAGAGATGTGTTAACAGTCTCCTGTCTCCAGGACAACCTGGCATGGAGGTTGGCCTGTTCCCTGCAAGTGTTGGGAGAGGTGTTCATCCCCTGGGAGGGTCAAGGCTGCCATCCCCTGGGGAGAGTGAAGCTGTAGCTTCCTGGCTAAGCAAGCAGGCTTATGCTCCCCAGTTAATGATGCTTAATAATATCTGATTCCCTTTGCTTCTTTGATCTCTTTCACAGTGGGAGTCATGCTTATTTAAAGGAGGGGCTTGTATACCCAATAAAAGGGAAGGTTTGCATAAAGACCTCCCACTCTAAGCCTCAGGCTGACATAAAGTCTGAAGACTCAGGCCTGCCTGTGGGGCTCAGGAAGCAGAGTCTGGGGGCGTCTCCACCATGGACTGGGCTGCACTTCTCCTCACTGTCCTGGCTCACTGCACAGGTGGGGCCTGAGGGGGATTCTGGGAGGGCACCACCTTGTCCCCTGGGTCTATGACACTCGTCCCTTCCTGGGAACAGTGTCTGTCCTGTCCTCACTGATCTCTGTGCTGCTCCTCCTTGCAGGGTCTTGCGCCCAGTTTGTGCTGACTCAGCCTGGCTCTGTGTCTGGGTCTCCAGGACACAAGGCCACCATCTCCTGCACCCGCAGCAGCGGCAACATTGACAACGTTTATGTGTCTTGGTACCAACAGCGCCCAGGCAGGGGCCCCACCACTGTGATCTATAGAGATAAACAAAGACCCTCTGGGGTTCCAGATCGGTTCTCTGGCTCCATAGACAGCTCCTCCAACACTGCCTCCCTCACCATCGCGGGGCTGCAGCCAGAGGACGAGGCCGACTACTACTGTCTGTCTTACTATAGTAGTGATGGTGGTACCTATACTCACACAGTGCTGCACACTAAGGGGGAAGTGAGACCAAAACTCCCAGAGCTTCTCCTTGTGGGTCTGCACTCAGCCTGTCCCTACTAAGCAGGGTGGTTTCCTCTGTCTCCTGCTGGAAAGTTCGTGTTGAGATTGGAGGTTTTTGAGCCTCTCTGTTTTCTTTCCAACTTTCCCCCTGTCAGGGAGGTTGGTTGCCTGTTTCCTGTACCATGAATTCCTGAGTGTGAGTTAGTTCAGAGCAGGGTGTGTGAGCCTGTGTGTTTGTAGAATGGGGGTGGGTCAGTGCTTGCGGAGGGTCTGCTCTGTGCATGTGGGACACTCATATGTGTCCTCTGGGCTCTGCTCATAGATGACAGTGACACCCTCTTGTTAAGTTATGACCTTTGACACCACCTTTAGATTTCCAAATAATCACTGAGGGGGCCCCATCACCCCAGGGTGAGAACCATGGGGTTAAATGAGCGTGTTCTCAGCTGTTCAGAAGCCTTGCCTTTGAGCTTTGTTCATGCCAGTCAGCTGGACAGAGACTAATGTGCCATCTCTCTGTGTTTCTGAGTTCCTGTTTGTTAGGCTAGAGAGTTACACAGGCTCATGTGAGGTCAGACCCAGTGAGCCTCTGACCCAGCCATGTGGAAAGTCCTCTCAGTCAGTGTGAAGGGCAGCAGGAGGACAGGTAGTAGGAGGAGGGTGAGGTTACGGTGGAGGGGTTGAGCAAAGAGGAGAAGGACTTATGGGCATGGAAAGCAGTATGATGATTGCTGGGCGGGGGAGGGCATAAGAGGACTAAATGTCAGTGGAAAAAATATAATAAAGATTAAATTAAATGAACAAACAAACTCCCAATGTGTCAAGTATAACATTTGGGTAAAGTACATGTGCAGTTAATATTTTTAAATTTTACACATTGCACTTAAAGAAATTTCACATCTATATCATTTATTCTATTAAGGAGTGCATTTCAAGCCTGAGAAACAAAGATGAATGCACACATGACAGGGTCTCGTGCCCTTGGGGTCAGGTGTGTGTGGGTCCTGGAGCACAGCCAGGAGCAGCGGGTGGGTGAGGAGCAGACACTGAGGACAGAAGACAACACCACCCCCATGAGCACGTGACCTGCCCAGGGCAACGTGGTTGTTTGAATGTCTGCTCATATTTCCCTTAAATAACAGTCTGTAAGGCCATCAGTTGTCACTTGAGACTAACACACAGCTCAAAGTCCATTTGGTCAACAAAGTGTAATAATCAACTTTTAAACCCAAAGTCCCACAAAGGACTCTAGTGCAGAAACTCATGGAGGAAGAGGCATGCATTTGAAATGTCCGTGTGAACGACACAGGTCTCTGCCCTGGGATGTGGGTGAAGGGAGCGGTAAGTGATGGTCCGAGGCCGTGTGTGCTGGTCTGGACTTCCTTCTGCTCCCACATGCCATCCCTGGACCTCATGACTCCAGACACAGGAGGCCTGTTCCCCTTCCCTCTCTCACTTTGCACAGCAGTCAGTTAGCTGACCATTCCAAACATTTCAACACACGTGCATTCATGTGACATGAGGTGGTACTCATTGCTGTCCTGTGCCAACGTTTGGGGACACACATGCGTATTTATGCTAGAACATGTGCTGATGAAAGCATATGTTGTTTCTGTTTTTTCTTGAAAAATTTTATTTATTTATTTTTAGAGAGGGGAAGGAGGAAGGGAGAGAGAAAAAGAAATAGAACGCCCCTTGGGCCCGCAAAGCAGGCATGTGCCTTGACTGGAAATCCAACCAGAAACCCTTTGGTTTGCAGGCTGGCGCTCAGTCCACTGAGCCACACAAGCCAGGGCCTGTGTGTTTGTGTTTTAAAAGTCAGTAGATACAGAGGATAGGAGGTTAAATAA